CTAGAGTTTCAAAACTCTAATTGATGTAAGGATAAGTCTATAGAATACTTAAGATGCATACCTATAAGTCTTATGAAGGTCTTGAGTCTAAACTAGGTCGTTATCATGGAGGAATTTAACTTCAAAATGGAATTCTAAGGTCGGGTGGACCAGTTGAGTCGGTGTTAGTATTCCTTTGGTAAAAGAAGCTTTAGTTATCCAATTGATACAAGTCTTAATGAGTTGGAAATATAATAAATAGGGATACAATTTCATAAAGAACACAAACCCTAATTTGGCTTATATCAAGTTCATTTAAGCTAACTATGTTGGGATATAGGATAAAGAGCAAATTCATATGGGTAGAAGCTTGGGACATAGGATGAAGACAAAAAATCATACGAGCAACAACTAAGGATAAGAGATGAAGCAAAAAAAAAAAAAAAAAAAACATGAGATGAAGTGTAAATAGCACATGATTGTGTCTCTTATTCAAGCAAGTCATGTGTCACTACAAATAAGCCATGTGCGGTTTTCATGTATGTGTTATAACCCTACCTTTTACTATGAATAGAGAAGTTAGGGTTTCACATTATTCATTCTCTCATTCTTGAGGGATTCCAACTCTCGGCAGCTATCATTGATAGGAAAATCTCCTTTTGTAACCTATTATGAGCAACTAAACTCTATTCTTGGTTGAATCAAGTTGAAGCTTTTGGTTAAATTGCTATGATATTATAGGTTTTATTTTTAAACTTATCTTCTTTGGATATGTTATGTTTTTCTATATAATTGGTTTATAGTTGTATGATTAAATTGATTAGAGTACATGTTAGTTGTTTGATTATGTTAACTTATTGCTAGCAAAGTATTCAATTCTATGTAATTGCTTGTCTAAACTTACCTATGGTAGTAACTAGGGGTTGATGATTATTTTTCGCATTTTCATTCAATCCATTGGAAAATAAAGAACCGAGGTTACATCTTCTCTAGCGCTTAGGAAGGTGGCTTAGCTTCACTTGTCTTTCTCCGATTAATGTTGTTATTGGATTAAATCTATCTAGTGCTTAGTAGGTTGTTTAGTAGCTAGGAAATTAATCGAATATCATATATTCGGTTAACGAATAAGTAAGAAAGGTCGGGGACAACGTACGTGTTTTAAAACGATGAATATTCATATTTAAGATAAGTTAATTATTTAATCGATGATCAATGATCAAACTAAAAGTGGATACTAAAGTTCAACTAAGGTTTCTTTATCAATATTATTTCAATTTACTTTAATTGTTTTCAAGCGCTCCAAACACAAAACCCCCATTTTACACTACCGAACACTCAATCAAAAGAAACTATCAATTAAGCCTCCTTTCATGTGGGTTCGATCCTCACTTGCCTTAATTACATTATCGTGATTGAAAGTTACGTAAGGATAAATATAAATTATTAATTTGTTGGAGGGACGACATGCCACTAATACTAAATCTCTTACTTAACACTAGTTATAACTTTTTGGTTCTTTGGTAAGACAAATATTGTTTTAGGTTTGAAAGAATTGAAAATAAATTGATTGGCTTTTTGGATGAAAGAATTTTTAGAGGGTTTTCTATAATTGTCTCTAACTTACATAAAAATCATTATCTTAGAAGACATATATTTCTATTGTGAATATTTATGTTCTATTTAATTAATATAACAAGATATGTTGTATATTCATTGCGTAATTTAATTTAATTACTTAATAAACGAGTATTAAGTTTCGATTAATTAAAGAGTAGTATTATTGATGGTGTTTTTTTTTTCTTTTTTCTATCAATATTTATGAGATCACTACTATTCATAATCATAATTATTCTTGATTTTCTTATATGTTTGATATCTCATAAATTAAATTACAAGATGATCACATGAGTTTATTTTATCAATATTAATTAGTTGAATTTCATCGGATGTTATAGCCACTAGGTAGTATAATTAGTTTCTTAGTTCACATAACAAACGGTCCACAAAAAGAAACAAAAACTCTTACGAAGAAATTTTAGTGTAATAAGTAAGAAAATAATACCTAAAGGTGAGTGTGTAAACAATAAAAAAAACTAAGAAAACGTTTTTTTTCCTCTCTTTCTATTGTTGTCAGAAGAAACTTGAATGGGAGTATGATTAAAAAAGATAATGAAAAAAAAATCAGTATCTTACTCATAAAAAAATATGAAATGAGATTGTTATTAGATAATTATTAGAAAAATTATCTAAAACATATATTTTATCTAAAAATCTATCAATTTATATTTAATTCTCTTGAATCTCAAATATTATTATTATTATTATTATTATTATTTTACCAAAATACTCAATAATAAAATGGTGTTATGTTGAAATGGTATTATGTTGCTGGTTAATTATTAGATGTTTTGATATATATATATATATATATATATATATATATATATATTTTTGGAGTTTAAGATATTTAAAAATAAAATAATGAGTTTTTTAGATATAAAATCTTTTTAGAGGGTTTTTTTTGATAATTTTCTCAAATTTTTATTGCAGAACCACAAGAAGATAAAAGTCTCATATATAATTTACCAATGGAAGAAATTGGACATTCCTTAACAGCGACCGGCCAACCTTTTTAAGTCTCACAACCTTCATTGAAGACGGATGGAGTCTTTAAAAATTACCAGGTTTGTTTATGTCCACCAAAGCATGCGGCCGGTGCTTTGTTGCCGGCTGAGTTTTGGGGCACGAGACAACCCGTCACCATAAGTCAAATAAGCATAATTTATCCAAATGATTAGGCACCGATATATAAATTATTAACAATAGGCTCTCGTCCTCATTTTGGACAGATGCAACTTTATATATATATATATATAATTGCACACGCTCATCTTCCTGGTAAAAAAAAGCAATGAGAATAAGATCTCCAGCTTAGAAAAGATTGTCCCATTTGAATAAACCATATCTTCAATCCTCACGTGGGGGCCGAAGTGCTCAAGGTGCGATTTTGAAAAGAGGACAAGCAGCAAGAATAATTCATGGGCCAAGCCCTGTCTAGTAATACCATATAATAAGTCGTAGAGATCAATTATAAGTGGGGAACAACCGAAATCATGCTTTCAATTATGGGGACATGGAGTGCCCAAACCTACTGGATTTGAACTCTTCAAGTTCTTTTTGTTTCTTGACCTCCCAAACATGGAGGACCCCATCAATGGACTAGTCAATTATCACCGCAAACCATACTTGTTTTCTTGTTTTAATTTAAGTTTAGCAATGACAAACAACAAATTCTAGCTATAAGTTAATAACCCCTTGTTTTTCTGACATTATTCATGTTAATTGATGTTTATCATCACTAGAAGGCGCATAGCATCTACTTCTTGCAAAATGCATTTTTTTGATGGGTATGATTTTACCTAAGAAAGTTGGTTACATTGCATGGCCATATCGTTTTAGTAAAAAGGGATGGAAAAGTGGTAGTAGGTCATCACTTTATTAAATCATACTAGATTTGCATTACAATGATCGTTAAAGAAGCAAGAGTCAAGTTATTAATGATGACACTATAAAGACTATACAATCATAGCAACAGGTATTAATTTTCCATTGTTGTAAATAAAATATATCATGTTTCTCACGGTGCATGTGCTGTACAGCAAGAGTCAAAATTGTACCGCATTCAGAGAGTACTACCACAATGGTTCCTTACCAAACCCATGAAAGCTCAGTAAATACACCATGAAAAAAGCAATTGAAGTTGAGTTGAGATGAAGGGCCATTCCAATCTTACAAAAGATCATTTTCAGAAAAGAATTAATGCAGAAGTAAATTCTGGAAGTTATCTGTCTGATCACTATTATTTTATACAAGCAGTACTTCCCAGAGGAAAAAAAAAAAAAAAGGAACATTGATGTATAAGGGTTAAGGGTGACCAATTGACCATTCGAATTGAGCCCAAAGATTTCGTTAACTTGCCTGTAGAAATATTAATAGATCTCCTTGAGTTGCTACCAAACCAAACCATTGTTTCATTAGAAATGACTTTTTAACAGGCTGGAAAATATATTCCAGTGGTCAGAGGGAGAGATACAAGGCAAGGAAACCAAATTGTTATAACTCACAAGGCAGTGCTAGAAATTTGTCTAGGAGCTAAATAGCTGGATTATATATATATATACACACACATACCGCGCAGTATCTCTCACACCAAAGACATAACTCTGCTTTGCTGAGGAGTCAGGCACCAGCATATTGGACGACAGGATTGCAGAAGCAGAAAGCTAATTTGACAAGCTCCTCTCATATAGCCTTATCTAAAACCTAACTAACTGTTGGCTTGTTTGCAATTTTTACACAGGTAAAAAGCCTGTTCATTTTTTTAATGACAGGACTAAATTATAAAGGATGGAAGTAGAATGAGCTGGTAGTAAGTAGTGAAGACTGAAGAGGTCCTCCAGTAGCTATAGTATTTTAAACTTGAGTCTTATATATATTCTCTCTAGTTTTGTGGACTGAGCCAATCTGCCCTTTGCATTTAAAGCATCCTTTTTATTAATGACAAATGCAGAGGAGTAAAGATGGATTGTATCTTCACTTGTGCAACCCAATGACCAAGTGAACAACTCATGTCCTTTCAAATTCAAGGAACTTTGATATTTATGCCTTTTGTAAAGATGCATTTCACTTTCCTTGACAGCTTCTAGCTGTCTTCAGCTGATTCCAGTCAGAGAATTAATGGGTTGTATTTAGATTCCCAGGGGTTGAGATTTATCAAAGTCATTAAAAAAAAAGTGGATTTGTGTAGCTTTCAAAATATCTATGAGAAGGGTATATCTGTTCTTTGTGTGGAGAAACCGTTCTTGGTCAGAGAGATATAAGGCTTAAGTGGCTTTTTCAGGTGTCTATATACACAGGTCCTCAAGTTCCTATTTAAGAACACACAAATCTCCTGTCTGTTAATTCTCACCAAGGGCAAACCCTTCTCCCATATCCTGTTCTTCAACTTCTTGCTTGCAGTAATGGATTCTTCCCAAATCTTTGGAGTCGCAGAAGAGTGTCACAGTAGTGAATCTGGGTGGACCATGTACCTTGGCTCCCCCAAACAGGATGATGACGGTGGTGATGACGACGAACACAGTGACGATGGAGATAGTGCTGATGATGATGGAGGTGACAATAAAAGTTACAATGATGACAGCGATGATTCTATGGCTTCTGATGCTTCTTCAGGCCCAAGTCATCAAGGCATAACTCATTTGAAGCAGGAAGAAGATAAGCATGTTGGCAAGTATAAAATGGAGGTGAAAGCTAACAAACCTAAGGAAAGCAAAAAAGCTGAAAGTGGGAGAAAGGAAGAGAATGAGGCAATGGCGTTTATGGCAAAAAGGGCTAATAATACTTCAGCTCAAAGTGGTTCCAAGGTAAGAAAAACCTTCTGGATGGGAAAAAGGAAATAGCTTGCTAGCTAGCTACATATGTTGTGTTTCTCTTTGGTTAATTTTGCAGGATGGCAGCATGCATGGGCTGAAAATGTAGATCAGTGAGGAAAAAAAATAAAATCTGATGAACTACTACTTTTGATTATCTTGTGTGTTTTCAATCTTTTGATGTAAGAGTACTTGATCATTCAAAAAGCATATAATATTTAATAGCTTATTCTATTGCTACGAACAGGATTATTATTTCTTCAAGTTCTATGTATGCTTTGCATGAGCCGCTGTACCAGTGATGCTCATGCGACTGTACATTCATTTGCTGGTAAACATTGATCCCAGGCCAGTGATAATGTATCAGGATGTGCTATTTGGTTATTAAGAGTTCGTGTGATGTTTTTTGTTATCTTAACAGTAGATAAATGCATGATGATCATATTCTATAATTCTCAAGTGGTGAAGCTTTAAAATCAATAAAAGGAAAATAACGCAACTAATGATCTCGAAACCAACTAAGAAGGAAGGCAAACAATCCCAGATGCATCATCATATCCTCAGAGAAGTGACCTGAACCTGCCAAATTTACCGTGGATAATGGAGATAATTGTGACCATATAATCTCAGGCCACGAAGGCTACAATTCTAAGCAAAGTTCAAGATGAGACAATGAATTAATTTGTGCTATCGAAGTCAGATTGCGAGCGTACTGGTGTTCTTTATCCGATTTATAACAAGTTAATAGTTAATTAATTAAGAAGACATGTAAATTTAAAGTTACTTATACGTACTCAAATTAGTCCGAAGCATATGAATGAAGCTGCCCATTTAAATCATGTGTGTGTGTTCTTAATAGCATAAAACTTATTTTTATCTTTATTTTTATTTTTTTAATGTGGCCATGTGATTGTGTGTACGTTTAATCGCATAAAACTTCTTATTATTTTATTTTATTTTTTTAATATAGTCTTCATACTTTTGTTTTTATCCATCATTTTACTCTATTTTTAATTTTTTTTTTAATATGGTCCTTTCGACTGTTTTTTACTATTTTTTTTATTGACATTGACCCTTGACATAAAAAATTCATGTGGCATATCATGTTACCTGACAAAAACTTAATAAAAAAAATTCAGAAAAAAATAGCTGAAAAAAAATATTAAAAGGAAGGGAAAAAAAAAAAAAAGCAAAAGAAAAGCACCCAATTCTCTTCTTCTGAAGCTCAGAATTCTCAATTCCATCGACAATCCAAACACCACAATTTCCCAACTCAAAACTCGAATCTAAAACCAACTCCAAATCCCTCTATAAAATCAAACTCTCTCAGCCAACCAAAACCTCCTATTAGCCAATATCCCCTTTCGATTGCGCTAATGCATTCTAGCATTATGTTAATGAAATGCTGGCATTTGTTGTTAAAAGAGGTGAGTTTATGTATGGAGCTGTGTTGGAGGGAAAGGTTGAAGTTGATTTCATATACGAGCTCTCTCAATACGATACTAAAGAGGTTTTGATGCTTTTGGGAGATTCTGCTGAAGAAAAGTTAACGGAGGGGATTGCCGAAAGCTTTTGTCCAAGTGCCCATTTCCAAATTCATATGCTTTCATCAATCCAAGTGCCCATTTCCAAATTAATATCCTTTCATCAATCCAACTGCCCCGTGGAAAGATTTGATTGGTTTTTTTTTTTTTAATGACAGTCACACAGTGGTTAATTTCTTTCTGCAGAGATGTACGAAGAAGCATATCTTTCAGTATAAATTTCAAATGCACAAGGAATTGAACTTGAATTTAGCATATGAATTTGGAGATTGTCACTTGAATCTTTGTGATTATCCACAAGACTTTCCAAGACCAGGTGGGATTTATCTAAGAATTATCAAGGTGATAAATTGCCACTGTGGCTTTTGATGCCAAAACTCAATAATTTGGTGGTGCCGAAAATTCTTTCTCAACAGTCGGGCATCTTTCTCATCTTAAACTTCTTGAATAACAGGAATGAATGGTGTGAATGGAACAGGTGAGGTGTTTTACAGTTGTAGTGGAACTGGTCCGGATCCAATATTTCTAGCATTAAAAATATTGTCTATATGGAATATGGAGAGTTAGTTCAATGGAAGGTGTTGAATGATAAAATAATAATTACAGGATTGAAAATGAAATCAAAATATTGTAGTACTTAATTACGTGCAGAAATCTTCTCGTACTGTTATTAAAATGATTATTTCTCTCACTATAATGTTACAAAGATTTTGATGATTCACTTTTAGGATTTATTTTTTATATCCAAAGAATTACATGTAGCACTTCTGAAATTTCTTCTAGAGAATTTCTTTTCAAATCGATGACTTTACAAACGGAAGAATTTTGAGAGTTGGATTGTAAAAGAAAGAATAATAATTTTTTGCCCTATGCATATTCCTCTATTTATAGTTTACTAGAATCCTTTCCATAATAATCATAACTATTGGACTAAAACCTCTTCATAACAATCATGATTGTTGGATAGAACCCTTTTATAACAATCATAATTGTTGGATGGGAACTCTTTCATACTCTCTTCACCATACTTAATTTATTATCTATCAAGATTTTTAGCAATCCTCTAGTTAGATAATAATGTTAAGTTCTTATAGGATCATGCATAAAGGAAAATATCTCTCAACTTGAATCTCTTTTTAGCGTAGATATCTCAAAGTCTTAATGGAATAAATAGTGTTTTAAGTGATTGAACCATTATCTCTTGAATTAAAATAGAAAATACCACACACGTGATCTAATGCAATTTCTTTTAGAAAATTCACTAAAATTCTTTTAGCATTTATATGTCTATTTGTTATATCCTAGATTTTCATAAACATTTTCAAAAGTCAACCCTTGAATTTTTTATAAGAGTGGCACCACTCCTTATGTTTATATAAGTGAGGCTTCTATTAAGCTCTAAATATTGGTTGTATTCCATAACTCAAGTCTTATGAAGAGTTTACAACTAAACCTCTAAAATTTATTAGTACTAGATAACTTAGAATGGAGATATACATAGAATATCCTAGTACTTCCATAGTAACTTATAATTAACTTGTTTTTACCCATTGAACTTTTAACTGGTGATAATACTAAAGAAAATTGAGTTTCTATTACTAGTGACTCTAGAAGAAGGGTTTTAAACCCATTCCAATTAAACTTTTCTTTACTAAATCCTTAATAAGCCCCTTTGTAACACAAATCAGTCCAGTTGTTACTTATTCTTACATCTAAGTTCTTATATATAAGATTGTGATAATTTCTTCAAGAATTAATTGTTTGACATATTTATTTCTCAAACTTATATTTCTATATTTCCCATTATATAACTCGATAAAAACCCTACACATAGTAGCTTTAATATTATAGTACAATGAAATGGTCGGCATCTATTTCTAGCAACAAATTCCTTATCCATTCTACCTTTCGTCCTACAACTAATAGTACAACAAACTTAGATTTCATAATAGAATGAGTTATATGTGTATGTTTCTTAGAGGTCCATGAAATAATCTCCACCAAAGGTAAATACCCAACCGGACGTAGATTTCTTATCACTAACACTTGTTATCCAACTAGCATCGGTGTATCCCTCTAGTACTAATGGATAACCCTTATAAGAAAGTTTCAATCTCAAAGTTCTTTTGAGATATCTAAGGACTCTAGAAATTACTTTCCAATAATCAACACCAAGATTACTAGTGTATCTTGAAAGCTTGCAAACTATATAGGAAATGTTTGGTCTATTATAATGCATAGCTTACACTAAGCTACCAATTACATAGCATTCTTAATTTGTGCAATTACTCTTTTAGAATTTTTCATTAACTTGTATGAACTTTCATATAGAGTGTTTATCTCTTTAATTTCCAAATGTTAATTCTTATTTATGATTTTTTTTTCAACGTAATGGGATTGATACAAAACATAACCTTATTATTTTTTCTACACTTTCATTCCTAAGATAGTATCTACATCTCCAAGATCTTTGATCTTAAACTATAAAGACAAGTACTTTTTTTTGTTCACAACATTAATGTTTATCCCAAATATAAGCATATCATCAATATATAAACATATAACGACATCATATTCTTTTGTAAATTTAGAATAAATACACTTATCCGTAATATCATGCTTAAATTCAAGAGACAATATCACATAATCAAATTTTTCATACCATTGTTTTGGTGCTTATTTTAGACCATACAATGATTTAACCAACTTATTTGCTTTCTTTTGATTTCCATTCAATACAAACCTTTCAACTTGTTCCATATATACTTCTTCATCTAATACATCATTCAAGAAGGCTTTTTAAGATCCATTTGATGTACAATCAAATTATATATAGAAGCTAGAGAAAATAATACTCTAATAGATATTATCATAGCTTATTGGTGCATATATGTGAACCTTATTTTTGCCTAAATCCTTTTGCCAATAACCTAGCCTTAAATGCTCATATAGATCCATCATTATTGTACTTTCTATGAAATCCTTTACAACCCATAGGCTTTGAACCAAGAGGCAAATCCACAAAAACCCAAGTATTATTAGATAATATTGAATTCACTTTGTCATTAATTGCCTCTTTTCAGAATGCTACATCTCTTGATTTCATAATTTCTCTCGTAGGTTTTAGAATATTTTTCTATGTTTAATAAAATAGGCATTTTATTAAGTAAATATTCCTATCACCTTTAACTAAGAAGACAATAGACTACAAATCAATAAAATTTGAATCCAAGTTCTTTTCTTTTCTAGTATGTTGACTTCTCTTAGGTTCTTTAGAAGTATCAAGAGATTTTTGTTCACCACTAGAAAATGAACTTGGATTAGTTTGTTCATATGTTTGTGTGATAGTATTAGAATCATTGGCAAATTTGCATTCAATAAATTCAAGATCCTTTGATTCTACTATCGCATTTGATTCTAAATCTAATAATCTATATGCCTTGAAATTTTGAACATATCCTACAAACACACTTTTTAAATCTCTTTGTCCTAACTTAATTTGTTTAGGATTCGTGACTCTATAAAAGACTAGACAGACCCCTAACTTTAAGATAGCTTAGATTTG